TGTTTGCTTGAAATTAACATTATCTGGGAGTCCTGTATTTTACCCAAATATTGAGCAATGGGGTCACAGAGGTAAATAAGACAAGAATCCTGACCTCAGGGAACTTATGGCATAGTAGGGGTATTTATAGAAGAGTTTAATAAATACCCTGATTAGTACCAGGAACATCAGACATGAAATTCTGATCTAGCCATCCAAACTGCAACTGGGAGGCAAAAACAGTGGGGGGAAGTGGCGGGAGCGCGGGGAATACAGCAGCACCGAATATTCCAGAGGGATGGTGGGAGACACGACACACCTGAGGTGCAAAAAGGCTCCTATGATCAGAGCACAGTGAGTGCCAGTGTCAGGAGTTGAAGCTGGAGAGGCAGGTAGGGGCAGAGCACAAGGGGCCTGGAGGGCCATGTCCAGGTGTTGGGGCTTTATCCGAGGGTATCTGGAGCCTTTGAAGGGGTTTAAAGGGTATGATCCTTCTGGCTGTTTGGTGGAAGATGCACTGAATGTTGGCTAGAGAAACTGGAGGCCAGAAGGAAAGTTGTGGTGGTAATTCAGGTGAGATTATGGTGGGTTTGAGATGCTGGTGGCAGTACGCTAGTGAGAAAATACAAGTGCATTATATACGAACTAAAATCAGCACAATAGTGAGAAAATACAACTGCATTATATGGGAGCTAAAATCAGCACAATAGTGAGAAAATACAAGTGTATTATATGGGAGCTAAAATCAGCACAATTTTGTAATATGGGGTGTTAGGGAGGACAAAGGAGTTAAAGATGATAGTCGGGCTAACTCTAGAGCCACCGGAGGGATGGTGTCCTCACCTCCCCTAAAGTGGTGGGAGAAGGACCTAGCATGGGATGTGGCAGCAAGAGGGCAGATGAGTTAGTTTGGGCCATGCAGCACTGAAGATGCCCTTCAGTCATGCAATGGACAGCTCTATGAGGAAGCGGGGTCTGTGGGCCTGGAGCTCCAGAGAGCTGTCTGCTCTAGAACTATGGGTCTGTGCCCATCAGCACGCAGACAGTAAGGAAAGCTAAGGGAAGAGTGGTGAGTGGGGGAGGGAGTCTGCCCGGGGACAGGGTGCGGGGTGAGATGGGAGTCTAAGGCAGAGTCTGAAGAACTCCAACAGCTAAGGGAAGGGAACCAGGAGGTGGCAACTGCCAAGGAAAAGGAACGTGGCAAAGAAATAGGAAGAGAAATCAGATGGTGTCCCAGCAGAAAAGCCAGCAGAAGCAACTGTTTCTAAAAAGAGGGGTGGGTCACGAGCACTAAATAGGGTGAAGATGGAAACGGAGAACTAACGTGTCTGCTGGAGTTAGTAACAGGCCTTGTCTTTGGTGAGGGGCAGGGTACAAAGCATACGTGGGAGCAGTTCAGGGGTAAAAAGTTGGGAAGTAGCAGAAACTGAAGCAGTGGGCGAGAACAACCAGTTCAAGATGTCTGGGTATGAACATGAAGGAGAGCTATGGGCCAGTAGTGGATGGTGGAGGAAACCCAGTCATGTTCAAATGCCGTTTGGGAGAAGAGCCAGTAGGAGGAGACACTCAAGTCACAGGAGAGCAAAGTACCAGGGGGAGAAAAGGTCTAGATGATACTGTAAGCCCATGGACTTCGGGCTTCCGGTTCCCTTATAAAGTGAGAATATTTACTATTTATTAAGTGGCTACCATTTATTAATCTCTTACCATGAACACTTAATCAGTTTGTAATTATATACTGGATTAATGTGTGAATCCCTGGTGCCTAGCACAGTGCTGACACATAGTAGGTGCTCAGGAAATACCATGTATGTCTGAGTATGAGGAAATCGTCCTTCTCCAATAAGGAAATTTTAAGAAGTGTTTTTGGCCAAAATGAACGTTAGAGCTTTCACCACTGCAAATGAAACACTTCAGATGTCTCATTTTTCCTTACTTGATATATCTAAATCAGACATAGAGATATTCTGTCTACTCATACATTTTAAGGACTCAGTTGGTCCACATTTTAAGGACTCAGTTGGCACGAAAATAACAAACGTCATCAGAGTAATCTTTTAGTTATGTAAAGCATGCCAGGCACATCCTGGAGTTGAGAGCTGGCACTTTCTCTGTGTGCAACGAGGGAACGTGGAAGTCTTATCCCAAGTTCAAAGCACCCATTCCATCCCTGATTCCCCCACAACTGCCGCTCGTGGAGTTTTCCCTCCAATTCAGAAAGGCACCTCTGCCCACCAAATCGTGTAGGCCCCAAACCCTGGTGTCGTTCTCGACCCCTCACTTGCTTTCACACTTCTCTTTTAGAAAACACCTTCAGAAAACCTCGCCACTACTTCGCTTTCTCCTCTGGACTCCTGCGGCCGCCGCCTTCCTGGTCTCTGCTTCCACCTTCCCCACTGTGGACCCTTCTTCCACATGCAGCCAGAAGATTCCTCTTTAAACCCAGGCCAGGTCTTGTCACTCAGTACCTCCAACGCTCCCATCTCAGCTACAGAAAAGCCCCAGATCTGCCCTCCACAGCCTCCGTGCTGACACGCTGCCTCTGGCACGGCCTCATGACAGCCCCCTCACTGCAGTGGCCCAGTGTCACACACAGGCTCCCACCTCAGGGCCTCTGAACTGGTTCCCTCCAGGAATGCTCTTCCCCCACCTGGTCAACAGGCTTGTCCCTTATCTCATTCAGGTCTCAGATCAAACATCACTTTCCTGACCTGTCTTGGATGACAAGGAATTTCAAAGGACAGCCACCGTGTGTAATGTCAGACCTGGAGGAAAGGGAGGCACAAATGGTGACTTCCTGATGTGCAACTAGAGTGCAGGACTTAACTGGAACTTAGCCAAAGGTGGAGGTATGAAGGCGGGGGCAGGAGGACTCTTGGATCACTGGCTCAAGCACTCACTGGTACCGTCCACAGTAAGAGGGAATGACACAGAAGAGGGAGAGGCATGGAGGGAGGAAACTGGAGATGCTGAGTTCAGTCTGGGCCATAGTAAATCTCGGATTCCTATGGGATTGGGATTGCAATAGCTATGCCCAGGAGGTAAGTCTAGTAGCTGAGTGCCACAGTGAGCGTACACAACGTAGCAGGCACCACGCCAGGCTTGTGCTGCTTCTTGAATCCTTTATATCCTTAAAAGGCAGCTATTCCTGGAAACGTACTAGATAAAAGCAATACTTCTAAGTTTGTTTTAAATACACGTAATTAAAAATAAATAGACATCTGAGTAGCTCATTTGCAATGATAAAAGTTCTTATGACCAGGGGCGCCTGGGTGGCTCAGTTGGTTAAGTGACTGCCTTCGGCTCAGGTCATGATCCTGGAGTCCCAAGATCGAGCCCCGTATCGGGCTCCCTGCTGAGCAGGGAGTCTGCTTCTCCCTCTGACCCTCCCCCCTCTCATGTGCTCTCTCTCATTCTCTCTCTTTCAAATAAATAAATAAATAATCTTAAAAAAAAAAAAGTTCTTATGTCCAATTTGGCCAAAAAATGAATGACTTCCTTATATTCAGGCATACAGGCTATTTACACTAAGCACCTTTTATGTGCCAGCACGGTGCTAGGCACATATTCACCAACTATATAATTGTAAACTGATAAGGATTAATAAATGGTAGCTATTTAATAAACACTAAACACCTCCTCCTTTATAAAGACACTAGAAGCCAGAAAATTATTCCCATTTCATTGTAGAGAATCAGGTTCACAAAGGGAAAGTATTTGCCCAAAGTCCCACAGCCAGTGGCAGAATGCAGAGCTTACACATGCCATGACCTCGGATCTTAATGCACAAAACTTTACTGCAACACCTCAGGGCTGCTAAGTCATCAGAATGGAGCCGAAGCCACGTGTCCCTTGATTCAAGGAGCATGGTCATTTCTCACCTCACCAGAGCTCCCAGCTGTGAGAAGGGAGGGTTGTGTTCATTTTCCAGAAAGGACAAGCTTGGTTAGGCCCAGTTGGTGAAGTGTCAGAGCTAAGATCAGAGTCAGATGGGACTCGTGACAGACAAGCACTTCCCCTTAGAAAGAGCAACAATCTTCTGGAGCCGCCGCAGGCCTAGATTTCAGCAAAAGGTGGTTAATGAAAAGAGGCATTACAGCTTGCCAATCGGATAAATTATGAAATTTATTTATATTTCACCATTTAAAAGCCAGAACATAACAATTTTCACTTTCCGGAAAGTCATCCTATTAGAAATACATGAAGTGCACTTAATACAAGGAAATCGGTTTCTGGGCACCACCAGTGAAACGGACATACCCTCATCCGTTCCCTCAAATGAAGGCTTTGTCAAATTTCCCTCCAAACTTAGACCTCTCAATTCAGGGAGGTCAGAGTGAACTTTTTCCAGAAATTACAGTGAAGACATGGACCTTAACATTTGGGCCCTCCCAAGCAATATCACATTAGAAAAAATTATTTTGCCCCCAAAGGGCGCTGTCTTTGCTGGTTACTAGGCATCTGCAGCCCCGACTGGCAGAGGGAGAGGCCCCCAACAGCACTACACACAGGCCCAAAGCACGCTGTCACTTGCAACCTCAGCCACTGACCAGAAAAACTTTCCATGCTCAGTGTAGAGAGGTCTGACACGAAAAAGTGAACCTAAAGCCACATGCCTTTTGGTCAATCAGAGGTTCTGCTCCTACATATTAGACCGACAGCTCTTAGCCTTGTATTTATTAATATTCATGAAACATGGTGAACTTTAAGTTTCTTGAGCTATTAACAAAGCAAGCTTCCAGTAGACAGTTTCCATCAACAAATGCTCACAGGAGACATGTCTGCCTTCTGAACAGTGTGTCTTGTCAAAAAGAGATAGCAGGCTGTGATACTAGATTTCCTATAACCTCTGCTTTAGAACGTAGGTTTTCACACACTGATTTACATGTGGAAACCATCTGTGATAGAAAAGCAATACTCAGTTTAATCTAAGTTACCAAATAAAAGATAAATTAACTATAGTATCCACTGGAGCCTCTAAACTTACTCTTCCTTTTCATTTGAGGACTCCTCGTGCTTCCAGGACAAGAACGTAAGCAGGCTCCAAATAGAGAGGTAAACACGACTCAGTCATTTGAAAATACGGCATTAGTTCGAAAATCAGAACCAAAAAGTTCTGGTCCTCACACTGCTCTTAGCTGACCCTCCTCCCCACTTATGGATAAATGCAGTTTAACTTTCCTAACCTAGAAACACTTATCCTCACTAAAAATATATGGTTACACCTTATCCTAAAAAGGCACCACGCAGGCATTTAAGACTGAACCAGTTAATTCTAAGGGTGTGCAGGAGTGGTAGGAAAATATCACTAATCAAAACTTCCAGCATCAGATCATGCTAAACCCAGAACATTCACTCCAACAGGTCTTTTGAAACGTTTCCCAGGAGGTAAACTCCAGCTTTTGGCAGCTGCTGCTAAGGGCCAATGAACAAGAACTTCCAGAGCACAGAAGGAGCTCCATCACCAATCGGATACACACACCTCAGGGACAAGGAGAGAAGATGCTGGTCTCATTTGTGCTATTCATGACCCAGAAAAGGTCCTGGCTGGCTCAGAGGACCTGAGAGACGAACACTAGATGGGAGGAACAAGTGTGCAACAAGGATAGGTGGAGAAGCTGGGTTCTCTTCCAGAAGAGGAAGCAGAAGCTCCAGGAAGTAGCTGAGGAGCAATCAAAGACCAGACATGTGACAGAATGAACAGTAGGGAAGACCCCAAAGGAAAGGACGGCTCTGACCTGGAGACCTCTTTCTCTGTCAGAAGGGACCCTATCCTAACACCACAGCTCACGTCCAGGTCTGTTGTACATTTAAAGTGTATGAGCCTAACACACAATGGAAGCTCTGGAACAGGAGACGGACAGCAGAGGCTGCTCACTGATCGACGATGGAGCGCTGCAACACCTGAGTCATCATGTCCTCTTCATCAACATCGTAATCCTGTGGGCGAAACACAGACACTCGGCCTCAGCACCAGTTAAAGCCACAAGGCCTCACGGTCAGCAGGAGAAGTGGGGCAGCCCAGGGATGACGGGCTCTGGAGCGACCGCCCCAGGACCGATCCCAGCTCCAGGGTGAGACGCCAGCCACGTAACTGGGGGCAAACTGATGGATCTCTCTGTGCCTCTGCTGCCTCATCCTGACAGTGAAAATACTGACGGCTCCCTCGCACAGGGACTAGGAGGACCAGAGGGCACCTGCATGGAGAGGGGCACAGACCAAGTGCTCAAACGGGAGTATACTGGAGTCAAACTTGCCTTTTTAATTCAATGAGGCCAAATTATCTACTTGGGTAGAACTTGGGAATCATATTCCTCTTCACAGCACTAACTTTTAAAAAGGACAGTTATTTTAAAGTCTGAACCTCAGACACTCTCTTAGACTGAGAATAAATATTCTTATGACAACTTAGGAAAGAGTCACGCTTTTCTTCCCAGGTCCTGAAATACAGCGATTAAGACTGAATACTACTGAGCACCTGGGTGGCTCGGTTGGTTAAGCAACTGCCTTCGGCTCAGGTCATGATCCTGGAGTCCGAGGATCGGGTCCCGCATTGGGCTCCCTGCTCGGTGGGGAGTCTGCTTCTCCCTCTGACTCTCCCCGCCTCTCATGTGCTCTCTCTCTCATTCTCTCTCTCAAATAAATAAATAAAAACTTAAAAAAAAAAAAAAAGACTGAATACTACTCTAAAATCCTCACGACGTATATCTATCAACAAACAAACGGTTTACCTGGAGCAGTTGGCCAAATTTATCTATTACTATTATGCCAAAACAACAGTGGGTCCCTTCAAAACCGCTCAGCTCTAGGGAAAGGATACCAACTGGATGAACACCTTTGGCGAGTGGATGTGCTTTGTTTGACCTGAAGTCCTTTAAAAAAATTATGAGATACTTCCTATGACATTCTGCCTTTCCAGCTTCTTGGGGTTGGGGCACGTGAAGAGACAGGCAATACTATCCCTGTATCTCTGCACGCTAACGATCAACTGGAGCTGATGGCAGCATAACACGGGTCAGATACTGTCCAATTTGCAAATCCTCATGAGGACCACTGCCATTACTTGCCTGGTCCCCATGAGCATTTGAGCTTTGAGATCCTAAGCCAGGTTCTATAATAGGTAAAAACTACACATACCAAAAGAAAGTGGGAAAATTTTTGGGGGAAAAAACCAGAAACACGCTTTCACTATGTTTCACTGCAGATGACTGGCCAGTTCACCTTCTTAAATACCACACAACAAAGGCTCTGGCCACTCACCGGGTTCACAAGTATGGACCACACAGCTGCTGTTCCAGGGAGCCCATCACATCAGTGACAAAACTCAACAACAGGACCCACAGTTCTCCAGGTAAGAGAAGGGAGTTCCCCCAGGGGAAGGATCAGGGCCCAGGTTCCAGACTCACCACAAAAGTGTCATAAGAAAACTGGTGCCGGCGCTGGATGTGCTCTATGAAGTTGGCGCTGCGGTAGTTGGGGTCTCCCCAGGGCATTGAGGCACATATCGGGCAAACCTTTCAACAAAGAAGTACAGTCTTAGGCACCTGACATTAGCCCTCTGTGGCCTCTATCTGGCCTCCTTTCCTCCAGGGCAGCTTTCCTGACACACTGGTTTAGGGCCTGGCTACTCCTTCATATGTACATTCATATCCCAAAAAGCACTGTCAGCCTCCTCGGGTCAAATGAGAGATGAGAGTGCATAAAGGCTTCAGCCACTATACCACCCTTTTCTGAACCTTTACTGAGACCAGGATGTGTGTCAGCTCAGTAGGGGCCTAGACTCTGGCTGTCTGACCCAGCACACAAAATGATCCAAAAGCACAAAGAAAACCAAGGAAATGACAGATGAACCATATCCCGAGGAAGTAAAACACAGCCTTCTGTGCTATTTTTACAAAGTCAATGCTCAGATGAGAGGGCTGAGGCTGAAAGGCCCTCATGTAAGAAGTCGATTTGGGCCTTGAAGACTGGGAGGTATTTGGAAGGACAAAGAGAACATGAAAGGGTGCTCCAGAAGACAGGAAGTGGCACAGAGAGGCCAGGGGACAGCAGTATAGGCCTACAATGAGGCAATCAGTCTGGCTAGAATGGAAAATTCATAGACGGACAGAGAGGAGCTGGGCCAGGGGGAGCAGTAGGCCTAAGCGGTCGGCTTGGAAATGGAACCCCACCATTTACAAGGAAGATAAGGCGACAAAAGGGATTGGCAAGAGATCAGTCTGAAATGGTAGAAGACTCCTTGGTAGAAGGAGCCGGCCGGGCTGGCAGCTGTAGCTGTGGGGCTGGAAGGTGGGTCGGGTCCAGAGACTGAGAGGTGTGGCTTCCAATGGGAAGGGCTGAAACATTAACAGTTAAAGACTCTGTAGATGGAGAGGGGACAGAACAGAGCTTCAACAGCTGAAGGAAGAGAGGCTTCAACAGAGACAAAACAGAGGGATTTCGGGAAGCCAAAAAAGGAAAAAAAGAGAAAATGAGGTCGTAGTACCAAAACCACAGAGCACTCTAGCACTATCAGATTTATGAGCGCACTTAACCCTTTAACCAAGTTAACCCAGGTCTAAGACTTTATCTTATAAACATAAACACAGGCAAAGATGTGTTAAAAAATTTATGGCTACATCTATGAAAAACCCACAGCGAATATCATTCTCAATGGGGAAAAACTGAGAGTTTTCCCCCTAAGGTCAGAACGCGGCAGGGATGTCCACTCTCACCACTGCTATTCAACACAGTACTAGAAGTCCTAGCCTCAGCCATCAGACAACAAAAAGAAAGAAAAGGCATCCGAATCAGCAAAGAAGTCAAACTCTCATTCTTTGCAGATAATATGATACTTTATGTTGAAAACCCCAAAGACTCCACCCCAAAACTGCTAGAACTCATACAGGAATTCAGTCAAGTGGCAGGATATAAAACCAATCCACAGAAATCAGTGGCATTTCTATACACCAAGACAGAAGAAAGAGAAATTAGGGAGTCAATACCATTTACAATTGCACCCAAAACCATAAGATACCTAAGAATAAATCTAACCAAAGAGGCAAAGAATCTGTACTCAGAAAACTATAGAATACTCATGAAAGAAATTGAGGAAGACACAAAGAAACGGAAAAACATTCCATGCTCATGGACTGGAAGAACAAACATTGTGAAAATGTCTATCCTACCTAGCGCAATCTACACATTTAATGCAATCCCTATCAAGATACCATCAACTTTTTTCAAAAAAATGGAACAAATGATCCTAAAATTTGGATGGAAACCAGAAAAGACCCCAAATAGCCAGAGGAATGTTGAAAAAGAAAAGCAAAGCTGGTGGCATCACAATTCCAGACTTCCAGCTTTATTACAAAGCTGTAATCATCAAGACAGTATGGTACTGGCACAAAAACAGACACGTAGATCAATGGAACAGAATAGAGAGCCCAGAAATGGACCCTCAACTCTAATGGTCAACTAATCTTTGACAAAGCAGGAAAGAATGTCCAATGGAAAAAAAACAGTCTCTTCAACAAATGGTGTTGGGAAAATTGGACAGCCACATGCAGAAGAATGAAACTGTACCATTTTCTTACACCACACAC